GGGGGGGCGGTGCTGGGGCGGAAGGGAGGTCCTGCTTGGCTTGCACAATAGCATGGGGGTCGTCCACGGTGGAAGCTTTTCTGGCCTTCAAGCCAGAGCGAACACCAGTTGCTTCCCCGCCTCCCTCACACGAGGCCTCGGAGCATGGGCGCTGCTGGTGGAAGCTGCGGCCATCTCGTACCCTGGCTGCAGCGTGCGGCCCCTTGCAGATCAGTGCTCTTTGCAAATGGAGCCAGGGAGGTGAGACCACAGCTCCTCGGCCAACAACGAGCCATGAGCTTTCCTTCCAGCTGGACCAGACGGCCAGGTACTGACGAGGGGCCTGGGCTTAGCCTTGGAGGCCTCCTCCGGTCCCAGAGCACAGTGAGGCGAGATTGCTGCATTTTTTTAATGCCTCCCACCCCCAGGGGATGCCTAGTCTGCAAATGTGGCTGTGGCCTCTTACCCAGCTGCCCCCTACAACGCTCCTGTGTATGTGACTTCTCTTTGTAATGGTTCCAGTGGAAAGAAGCACTTGGGTCCCAGATGCGTTGCGGTGGCTAACAAGGGGAGCCTTGTGTTTAAACAGAGCGACTTGGAGAGCCGAGAAGGGGAACGGGCTCCGTGCAGGAGCAGACTGGGTTTCTGCCCCCCGGAGGCCATAGCAGCGGAGTCCCCCTGCCTGCGCCTCAGCCTCGTGCTTCTCTAGCAAGCCCCGGCCTGAGCTTTAACAATGGGCGGCGGTAACTTCAGCCCGACCGGCAGCGGGGCTTGCCTTTAGGCTCCGCTGGGATGAACGGGGAGCTCCTGCTGCTGAGCCATTGTCTGCCTGGCTAGACTGCTGCAGCAGGGCTCGGCTAGCCTTGCAGTATCTTAGTAACCAGACGGGCTGGCAACTGCAGCTGTGTCAGACTGGGAGGGGCTGGTGCTGCGTGGAGACCCCGGCAGGCTCCTGCTGCCTCTCTCCCAAATTAACCAGGGCTGGTGTGTGCGTGCATCTGCCGCTGTGGTCCTGGGTAGTTGGGGTGGCATCGATGGGAGGTGATGGATCAGTTGAGGCGAAACCCAAGGGCCTCAGCTAGGTGAACTCTTGCGTTCCTGGGAGGCTCCCTGCACTGTCCTGCCTGTGCATTGGCCTGTGGCCTGGCCCAGAGGGGTTTCGAGCCGTGGCTGGGGTTTTCCATGCCGTTGGAGAACACATGGGACAAAACAGATGAGTCTTGGGAAAGATACCAGAGGCTAAATCCTGCCCTGTGCAGAAGACCCAGTGCTCTGGGCTTCAGCCATGTCTGCTGCCACGGAGCAGGATTGACCCCCACGTTTCGGTGGCCTCTCCAAGCCGCCACCTCTCCAGGTGAATTAACCGCCCGTCACCAGACCGTGCTGGAATCTTGCCTCCAGCAATAAATACGACCTCATGTTGAATGCAAGCCCCTGGCGCTAATGAGACATTTAAGGTTGGTTACACAATTAAAAGGGCAGGAAATTTCAGCTGTGGAGTTTCCGCTGGGAACATTAACTCTGCTGCATTGCGCTTTCGCGACGCTTTCAGGGAGCACGGGCAAGTAAAATAGTGACCTCCGTGCTAAACCTGAGCTGGGAGCGTGGAAGATGGATGCGATGAGGAATCCGGCTAATATTGCTGTTGGAGCCTTCGCTCCCGCGTTCCCCGCCTGAGCGTCCTGCCCTTCCCTCCTCCGCGTTGTAGCTGTACATTGAATTTCCAATGCTCTTTTTCTTTTTAACAGAAAGGGGAGGGTGTGAGAGGAACAAAGGAGGCCGGGAAGCGCCTTGGAACTGGAGAGCCGGTAGGAGCTATCCCTAGACCAGGCAAGAAGGAGCTTTCCAGCAGGGCCAAGTTCATCCATCTCAGAGGCATTAGCATGATCCAAGGGCACAGAGGCCATTTCCCTCCACTTCAAGCACCTCCATTTATTGAAGAGCTCTTCCTTTCTTCCTTGTGGGAGAAAGGGTTGTCCTGTGAACCCAGGTAGCGAGCACCTTGTCCAGCCACACTGCCAGCCCCTGTTTGAGAGCCTGATGGCTTTTCTGAGCCTGTAACAAGATGTGCGAGGGACCTTCTTCCACAGGAAGCTGGCCAGATGGGAAAAGGAGTTGCTTGCCATATATTGTGCTAGACACCTCCTTCATCCATGCCTAGACCGGGAGGAATGTTGGTGCCTGTTAAGCAGCATGTGCTGGATTGGTTAAATTAGGCTCCCCATAAAACTGTCTAATATGCAGTGGCTCTGTGGTCCAAGCAGGGAATGGGGGATTTACTTGGATGCTGAACGCACCTTTTGTCCCTAGGCAGAAGAAAAGGGGTGGGCGGGTGTTAGTGATCCTGTTAACCAGTGTCACTACCCTATAGCAGACAAGGGAGCTGTGGTTTTAGCGTGTTCCCTGACAGCCTAGGCACCCTCCTTTTTGTATAGACTTTGTGCAACGGAGTCTAAACCCAGTCTGTCTTGCTGGCCCTCAGGCTTCCCTGGATTGATCTTTGCACAGAGGCTGTGGGGGATCCCAAGCTCTTTAAGAAGGGAAACGCCTTGGATTAAAATGTCTGGTGCCTGTGGTGGCTCCAGGACTTAGCTAAATTCTCTGCTTGTAAAAAGGTGTCTTATTTCTGGCCTGCATTTCCTTAGCTTCAGCTTCTGGCTCGCTGTCCCCTTGTCTGCTTGGTTGCGGAGTCCTTGATCTTAGCGTTTCCAGTACCTGGGTGGATATCTGGGGTGGTCTCCTCAGTCTTCTTTTGGGCTCTTTGCTCTCATGGCAAGGCGGGGGTTCCCATCCTTCAGTCGTTCTTATGGCTCTTCTCTGAGCCATCTCTAGCTCAGTGCCCTTGACCGGTGGTCCCCAGCCTGCACGCGGTGTTCCAGCACCAGTCACTCCAGCACCAGGTAAGGGTCTTGTAGAAACAACTTGCGGTTCCTCTGCCCTGTCTGCCACAGGGTTATATTGGAGGCACTTGCTTTCAATGATTATCCTTGATGCCCCAAGTCACTGCTGCCAGGAGAGAGCTCATCCTGTCAGTACGGCCTGTATTTGTTCCTTGCTGTTAGCCACAGCCCACCACGGTCCAGCTGCTGCCCTTGCGATGGAGCCCCCCTTGATATCAGCACTCC